GAAATACATATGTATACCTAGGACATCATATATATATATGTGTGTGTGTTATGTAACTTGCAGTGTGTGTGTGTGTGCGGTGAGTCGCTCACATGTGACATGGTGGGTTTCCAGAGTGTAGGTGTACAAGTTTTTGGGAAAAGGTGCCTAAGGTGGCTCAAGAATATGGTGACCAAAAACTGTGGCTCAAGAATGTGGTGATCTTTAGGCGCCATGAAAAAATGGTCGCCAACCTAAACTATAGCGAAGCGGCAGGGCCGGCGAGTGTCGAAACGAGTGGTAGCGGAGCGTACACACACACACGCACTGTCTGTGTGATATATTTTGCAAAAATGTTTACGCAATAATCTTGCAACCTTGAGATTGCACAGGCTCACTTCAAGAAAACATATTTGTGCACCGCCAATCTATATCATGTAAAGTTGGAAATTCAATCTGCAAACGACAGCGGGTGTTGGACGCCTTCGTTTTAACCCTCACAAACGCCACCGCCTGAAAAAAACGGTGTCGTTTGGATTTAACATTGAACTTTTCTTCCACATCACCACAACGAGCGCGCAGTCGAGGAAAGCACCCTCTCCGAGCCAGCGCAGTCGAAATGTACTTCGAAGATTTCGAGGTGAATTTAATACAGATCTGCTGCAAAGCACAGCAATATGTCATAAATCTCCTTGGTGTGGACAGCGGTCCACAAAAAGCTTTACACTACAGACCTACCTGCTATAGGCAGCTAATGGGTTAGAGATATTCTACAAACGACAACTGCAATTTGGAAAGTTGTCGTGTGTAGGGAAAGTTGTCCTTAGTACAACTTCAGACCCTAACGGTGTCAGAGCTGCCGTCCTGACCTTGCGTGGTGTCTTCTTGACCTTAGCTGTCATCATCATCTGCAGACTCTCCATGTTCATCTGCATGGCCACCGGCGTCTCTGGCTGTGACGCCTGTGCTGTCGATGCTGTAGCCGGCTCGTCCCGAGCCGTCCTCTTGGCCGATGTCTGCCGGACCTGCCGAGGCTTGCGAGGTGCTGCTTGAGGGCTCTGCGACGAAGACTTCCTGAGATGGCGGTTCAAAGTCTGCCTCCTCACTGTCCTCAAGGGATTGCGCAGGTTGCCCGAGATGACCTCCTCCTCCAACTCCTCGTTGGCGGACATCTCGGCTTCCTCCTCCCCATCCAGTCCCACGTTTTCCCATTCGTTCTGGGAGAGCTCGTACACCTCGGTCTTCTCGGGGCGCCGGCGGCTCGCCATGCAGCAGCCTGTCGCCAGTGGTGGGATGCGCAGCTTCCCCTTCCCGAATTGCTGAGCCCCGCGGCGAATCAAAAACTTGAATCTCGAGGTGCTCCGGCGTGCGATACTCTTTAGTGATCGATGTCAACGGGTGTCCGGCGGTCTCGTCAATCGGAATGACATAATGTCCACCCCTAGACTGTTCCAATCCGTATGCCCGGACTCCATACTTTCTTGATGACACGGTGTGTGAGGAGGTGTCGATGACGAGACCCAGTTCCGAGCACACAGGCTTCGACAAGAGTGGTGGGCAATTTCCCTGCACGACTGACACCCGCAACACTCCATGTATGCCCGCCAGGGTCACCTCGAGCATCACAGAAAATTGGCTCGTGACCACCTGACCATCACCGAAACGAAATTGTTCTTCTTCGGGTGTGACCTTCAAGAAGTGTCCCCGTTGTCTCCACTTCTTGACCACTCGATTGATCCAGGTGGTACCTGCTACCGTCTTCATACAGCCCAAATCCACTATCATCTTGCTCTGACTCTGGGTGACTAGTTCATCCATTGCCCAAAAAACTTGATGGGGTTCAGGTGGATGAAGATTCCCAAACTCCTCCATGGCCCTCCCATGATGTTGCACCATGTACGCTCCAGAAGCGGCCAGTGACTCCAGCAAGGCCCAATCCTGTTGTTGGGACTGTGAGACTGGAAAAGTCACATTGGCGGCATGGACATTCTTGTCCCTTCGCCGGTAAGGGCACTCTTGGCTCCAGTGCCCCAACTGGTGGCAAATAAAGCAAGGCTCCTTCTTCTGCTGCTCAGCGACCCACTTCTTGACGTGCTCGTTGCGTGCAGCCGTTGGCCCTCCCGGCAACTCTTTCTGGAAGTATTGCCTCATCTTCTTGATCTCACGAACACGATTGCGGGCCTTGAACTCTTGGGCATAGATCTCAGCCAAGGGAGGTGTTCCATGATCTCCTTGGTTGCCCGACGCCACAAATGCATCATGCGTCCCGGGAGGAGCGAACTCGGTCATGTCCCCTTGAGCAGGCTGTGCATTTCCTTCCAGTCGATCTTCTTCCTCATCGACTGACTCTTCTCCCAAGACATCAGCCAATGTCTCTTCTAGCCCATCCTCATCGCCATCGTCCTCCAAAATGGCCACCAGGGCGTCTCGAAAACGGCGCCGACCAGAAGGGGCAAAGCGCCCACCCCGGGCCCTTGGAAAAGGGCGGCTTCCGAGGTCGAAGTCGATGATGTAGATCCCGGCTTCTGCACCAAATACTGGTCCTCATTGTCAAGCTGAGGTTCACCTTGGCCAATGGGACAGTATGGGGCTCCTTCAAATTGTTCAGCGAGCTCGAGCATCGCTGAGATGACCTTAGTCTCATCTTCAATGTCACCACCACAAGCGGCCTTCAGCAGCGCCAAGTCCTTGCGAGTCAATTTGGCGCTGTCCAACAGATGGCCGACATAAAAACAGGAGCCAACCCTGTAGGCCGGTGAAGCCTCATTCTCCCTGCGGTAGATCTCGGCCCGGTTGATGAAACTCTCAACACTCTCGTGTGGAAGCCGTGCCAACTTCATGAACTTTTGCCTCCGCTTATCTATCTTCTTGTTGTCCAAGAGTCTGATGATAGGTGATTTTTCCATTTCACCCTTGATGATGGCGACTCCGTTCTCGGAGGTGACCTCCTCGACCGTCAGGTGCTGAACGATCTTGCCGGCACGTTCCCTCAACTGTTGCATCAACCTGGGACCCCTCATTTCAACTGGCAAGGACTTTCCTTCCGAAGCCAGCCAAAAGGTCACTGTCCTCCAGTACTGCTCCCAACTCTCACCGGGTCGTGCATAGAAGATTGATGGATATGTCGTTGAGATCTTCCCACCACCAGTAGCCGCCTGGCCACTGCCACTTCCACCTGCACCTCCGGCGATCGAGGGATTGCCCGAAGGAATTGTCTTTCATCGCCGGGGCCCCGGGCGACATCGGTGAGGGAGTCATTTTCCCCAGGCCATCTTCCGCCGACACCTCAGCCTCGCTCAGCGACCCCTCTGCCGCCTCGGGTACTCGAAGGGGTCCCTGATGAAGGTCGGAAGTAGGCCGCCGCCAGTCACCTGCATATACTTCAGCACGATGTCCTTGTTCATGGGATAGTGACGAAGAAGACCCGTGATCTCCTGCGGAACCTCCGTGATGAAGCTCCGGTTCAACACATTCGCGTGCCGACTTCCAGGAACCCGAAGAGTGACTCGAGCGATATGAGCTCTCTGAATCTGTTTCCCAATTGCGATTCGAGCTCCACCCCCCCCCAACGCCAGTCATGGCTCTGTCGGTCCTCATGAGTCTGCCCTCCAAACTCCGAAGACCAGGACCAGTTGCTTCTTGCCTCTTCCTGGGGGCTGTTCCTGGCTGAATGTCCCCATGCCTCATCAGCCCAGTATACATGTCTGGGGTGTTCACTCGTCCACTCTCGGTGTTCCACCTTCTGCCAAGAGTCACTCGACCCCACACCAGAGGATGCCCTCGACGAAGTCCTCGATGTGGTCTCTGACCAATTGGCATATCCGTTGTGTTGCGGTCGACCTCCTTGCCATGGATCCTCTGTCATCCATGGGTCCTCACTCTGACGGCTGCTCGGAGTCGATGCCTCCATTGACCTCTTCTCTTCATTGTCTTGTTCCGTCTCCCCCGGAACCTCTTCCTGTCTTCCCAGAGATGCCGCCATCCTCGCCGTACGGTGAAGTCCTCTTCGATGGCGGTGGAGAAAGACAGGCATAGGCATCTGCTCCAGCTCGGGGTATGATGTTCTCCCCCTTCCTCCTCATCAGCAGCCAGTGGATTGGCCGCAGCTCCAAGATCGGCGCCCGACATGGCTCAAGCCCTACGGGAAAAACGAAACCTAGGCCCCACTTCGGGGCTCCGCTACCACTGAAAACGCTCGACGGCGCAACCTTTTCCGTCTTGGAGCCGCGACGGGCTTGGCGGTCAACTGACAGTAATAACTGTTTAACCATGCAACTCAGTAAAGCGGCTAATGCATAGGCGGTCTGCTAGGTATTCAGTAAAGCGGCTAATGCATAAGCGGTCTGCTTGGTATTCAGTAAAGCGGCTAATGCATAGGAGCTGCAGACTTGCACCAAACAATTGTTCAAACACCTTCAAGTGCTCCGACCCTTTCACCTTTCGGCTCCATCGCCATTTTTCCTGGGAATTGACTTAACTGAAAACCAATGTCAGTGTGTGTGAACTATGGGCCTTCATCATTGAGATCTGGAGAGATTGCTGGTTGGTCAGTGACAAGATTAGCATTCCGGGATCTTGATTATTGCCTACACGGCCAACCCACCGAATTGAATGACCAAACATGACCAAACACAAATCATGTTGAATTTTGCTCACGGCAAAAGGATCTCGCACTCATCTTGGTTGCACCCATGAATACCACTGTTTGGCACCATAAGGCACCTTCCTCAATAATGCAAAAGGATCCGGAAAGTTGGATCAAAACCATTGCAGTGCAACCCAAAGACATCAAAAAGGAACTCTGCATCGTTAGGGTGAGCTATCCTGCGTCCCCATGTAGCAGCTTGAGTAGCTAGTAGCTTACTCCCCTACTTAATTAAGTCGGGGCCTAACGCCTACTCAATCAAGCAGGAGCGGGCTACAAGAACATCGAGATGGTGTCCCTAGTCTCAAGTCCAAAAATTTCTCAAATCACCGGCATTGCCCGATTTCCCCACCCTCCAGCAGATCTTACTTGGCACCTGCGCCGATGCCAAATGGGATAGGTCCTACTCACAGCAGCCCAATGTGCAACCACACACCAAGTCGCACGGACACCCCAAATCTTGGCGCAAAGCAGGTGCTTCGGTGGATGGAAGCTGCATAGTAGTTCACCCAGATTCCCTGAAACCAAGCAAGATTAAAAGTCCAACACAAAGTTCATCCAAGGTCTCATCGCACGAAGTGTGGTGGTAGTGGTGGGTGTTGGAGTGCGTAAAGTGTAAAGATTTGATTCATGGTTTTGTGTGATGCGTCACTATGAGGCGATCAGCTACAACCCAAACACGAATGAATTGGAGCCGTCTGGTTCACTCGTATGGTCAACCTTGCTCCAATATCACACCCGGAGCTGGAAGCTGTGTTTTTCAGTTTGTCGTGCTTCACCACCAGTGGTGTCTTTATGGCGGCGTGTTCCACCAGACAAAACTGAATTGTTCCAGGTGCCACAGTGTTTTTCACCAATCATTCCCAGCATTTTTATTTCCACTACTTCCATGTATCATCAGAATCATCAGTAATTTGCGCGAATCCCACCGTCTCTCAACATCCTGGCCAGAATATGCCAGAATCAAACCCTGATTCTGCGGTACCCGTCATTGCCATGCTGGCCCAATACCCTGCCGTCAAAGCTGCTAAACCCCTTCACCACTGGGACAAAGGTCAGGGGCAAGGGTGGCAGCCTCCAAACGATATTGTCCAGGGACACTGGGACGTGGTGCTCACCCAATGATTGACATGGTATTTCATGGCAGGCACCATTCTCAGGTTCCATGTTGATCTTCAGTCAGGGTGCATCCCCTTGCTAGCAAGGGACATCATGGGACCAAACAATAATTGTACTGGCACTGCTACTATCAGTTAAGAATATATAATTAGTTTCAGGTTATGTGTTGGTTTGGCATCTCATGCTAATATTAAAATATGGCAGGTGTGCAGGCAGTGCAGTTTGCAGCTTTCCAATGATGGCTTGCTAGGCAAGCTATCTAAGAGTCTAAGATGTTGATGTAACACCGAGCTTGGGCCGATGCCGCCATGACGCAATCCCACCCGAACGACAGGCAAATGTCAGGTCCTGTTTCATCCAGTCCACCATGACATCATTGAGCTTTATCTTCCTAGAAGTCACAAACGCGCCACTTGAAAAAAGGAGGGCCTCCAGATGTTAAATTTCATAATGCATGGTGTTTTAGGGTGAGTTCATTTTAAATTTGCACTGTAACTTGGGAGAGTATGAGGAGAGGTATTTTTCTTCCTGGCAAGCCTAAGCTTGCACAGAAAATGACATAGACATAGCTGCACCACGCTCCCCCTCTTTTTTTCCACCGCCTTTTGCCACTGTAGGGTTTAGAACCCTGAACCCTTCCCACAGGTTCGTGACTCGGCATGTGGAGTCTAACTGGGAACGATGAGATTGGAGCAGCATGTTCGATGCTGCTGGAACTAAACATAGCTCAGCTAAAGCACTTTGAATTGGCACACATCAAACGCACCATTGAAAAACGATGCTCACTGGACCACCCTGTGACGTGACTGCTTGTTTTCCAGTCTTCGAGTCTTCAACAGGGAAACTACTAGGAGAAAATACAAAAACCTCTGGACCTTGTTTGCCACGTGGCACCTACTCCGCTGTGCGACCCACCCCAGGGCCACATCGCAATTCTGACAGCAACGGCTTTGCCAAGCAAAACAAAACAACTTGGAAAAAACTATTATTGATATTTAATGTTGATAGATAGTGTTGGTATTGAAAGTGAACCATAATTGCGATAGTTGTGACTAGATGTAAAATATGGCAACCGGCTATGTGACCCTCCCCAGGGTCACTTTGCAATTCTTAAAATTCAATCAACATCAAGTACAACTGTGGCCTCAGCATTCCTCTCTTCAAAGCGCTGGGCCAATTCACCTGTGAGGCCCTCTTTGGTAACAGGTGTCCAATGAACGTATGTGCTAGGATCATCATCGTTCTCCGTAGGATCCCCGTTCTCCGACTCCATGCCAGAGTGATCAATGTCCTAGGAGTTGATTGAGCAGGCAATGGCTGGCTAGATTGTCACTGACCCACTCACTGTCACAGACCACTCACTGTCACTGACCAGGAGAAAAACTGATGCAATGCAAACTGCTGCAACTGTGTCTCTTTCAACCCACATGTGGCTCCTCCTCTGCGTCTTGCTTTCGCTGCTTCTTCACGCTGCTGCTGCCAGGTTCCGCTTTTGGTGCTGCTTTGCCCCTCCGCTTGGGTGTTGCTTTTGGTTTTGCAGCTTGCTTTTTGGCTGCTGCTTTCTTGGCTGCTGCTGGCTTGCTCTTGGCTCTTGCTTTTGCTTTTGCTGCCGATGCCTTTGGCTTTGGCCTGGGTTGCTTGCCTTTAGGCACCGGAACTGCTTCTGACTCAGTTGGCACACCCAGTTCACCTTCACACTTCTGATGCTTTGATGATGGACCCGCAATCTCGGTGTCAGTGTTCGTCCGGTTGTCTTTCTGGTGATCCTGCTTATGCTTCTTCTCATGTTTCTCCTTTTTCTCCTTTTTCTCTTTCTTTCCTGTGGAATCTTTGTGTTCCTTGTCTTTCTTGTCTTTCTTGTCTTTTTTTTCTTTCTTTTCTTTCTTGTCTTTGTGTTTCTTCTCCTTCCCCTCCTTCTGCTGATGGGCCGTGTTATCCTCCACATCTGTCTTCTTCGGTGCGATATTGCCTGCTGCTTCAGCTGGTTCATCTGGAGTCTTCTCTTGCTTTTTGCCCTTCTTGTGAGAGCTGGTGCCATCTGCTTTGGATGCTGCTGCTTCTGCTGATGCGCTTGTGCTTGGCCCACTTCCAGGCAATCTCAACCCGAAAGCATGTTTGAGAGGGACTTGACCAGGAATCCATGATGACTTGGTAGTCCTTGGCTTTGGTGGTTTTGCCTTTGCTGCATGTGGATCTGCTGGTGATACCTTCTGAACAGCTGCAGCTGCTGTGGCTGAGGGTGTTTGTGTTGATGCTCCTTCTTCTGTTGCTTCGGCTTGTGACACCGGCTCCTTTGCTTGTGATGCTTGCTTTGAGGCTGATGGGCTTTCTGTGTTTGTTTCTGCTGGTGCTTCTGATGGATCCTCAACATCGTTGCCGTTGCCCACAGTTTTTGTTGCTGGCTCTGGCTCTGCTCCGGATTCAGATGTTCGCACTGTCAGCGCTGCTGCTGCTGATGTTTGATCAGGGGCTGCAGCTGTGGCCACAGCTGATTGGTCTGG